GGGAAGAATCCACCAGGGGATGGCCACTGTCAGGAAGATTGATCCTCATTCCAGGTCTTGGCCCATTTTGGGGCATGTGGCGCGATGAGCTCCTCAAGCAGCCACAGAGTAGACGGCGGAAGGTACTGCGCATCTCAGCATCCCGGCAAGAATATACCACTGGGTTGACCAGTGAGTTAGCCTCAGCCAAAAGCAGGAAGTACTTCTCCACAGCTAAGACATTGCACAAGTCACAGCCCAGTCCATCCAGAAGCAATACCACCTGTCCAGGTGTCCAGCAAACCACAAATGCCCCTACGGACAGAGAAACAGAGTAATTAGTGGTTGTTAGGGTGGGCTCAGTCAAGATGTTGTTCACTGTGAGGGCTCTGGTCAACTGGGGTGGGTTAGTCACTCATAGAGGAGTACCAATTACTCCAGAGGGAAGAATCAGTTATTTTCAAAAAAACTAGTTACTTTCAGGGGGAGGGGGGGAAATAAATCACAGCTGCCAGGTGGTCAATCACTCTCAGAGAGGGTAAATCACTAGAAAGGTGGAAGGCACTCCAACCCCTTTAAAGGAGGATGTTGTCATAGCTAGTATCAGATCAATCAGTTAGAAGGGGTTGGGACAGTTACTCTAAGGAGGTTGGTTTCTCTGAGAGGGAAGATCCCTACAGGTAAGTTGGTCACTTTTTTTTGGGGGGGGGGCAGTCAGTGGTAACTAGTGAGGGAGTCAATGAATGGGTCAGTCATTATGAAGGAGCTAGTCACTGAAGGGAGGAGGTCCACATTGTAGACAAAGTTCCCTCACCCAAAATGATGACCACTGTCTTGACTAGAGCAATTGTGGTCTCACGGTAGCGTGGGTGGAAGCCAGCGTGTTGTGACATGCGATTCATGCGCCTTCGAACATAGAAGAAGATGCGTGCATAGACAGCTGCCATAAGCAGGAAGGCCAGAAGGTTGCCAAGGGCCCAGGCAGTCAGGAAGGTGCGGCTGTAGAGAGGAGCCAGGCGGGCACAGTGGTCCAGGTTACACAAGCAGTTCCAGTAGGAGGGCAAAAGTGCCAGGCCCAACGCAACTACCCAACTGCCAGCCATGAGTAGCAGCACACGACCCCGGGGTAGGAGGCTCAGTGGCTGCACTGCCATGACACTGCGGTGCCGCTCCACCGCTATGGCTAGCAGGTTGACAACTGAAGCACTGAGGCTAGCATCCAGCAGGCCCTGCCGCAAAAACCAGACTCTCACTGACAGCTGGGCTGTGCGGGGGCCCGTGTGCAGCATGAGGAACAGGTAGGCCAATCCTGCAAACAGATCAGCTGCAGCCAGGTTCCCTAGCAGATAGTAAATGGGTAGGTGTAGCCGCCGGTTGGAAATTATGGCCACGATGACCAGCAGGTTGGTCAGTAGAACCACTACACTGACAGTAAGCCCCAGGACCACCATTACCACATCTTTGGGCTGCCAGTACAGACTCAACTGCTTCCCACTGTGGTTGTAGAAGAAGCTCACAGATTCATTATCGTAACAGCGATCCATGACTGCAGCCAAAGCCTGGGGACATAAGAAGCTAGTAGTCAGTGAAGACAAAGGGAGAACTAATCTCTGTGAAGACACAAGAAGCTAACAGTGTTGGGACATGAGGGAGGCAGAAGTCAGTCAGTGAGAGGTCAGGAAGGAGACAAGGGGGTTGGCTAGTAAAACGATATAGATGGAGGGTAGTCAGGATAACCAATGTGTGAGAGAGGCCAACCAATGAGGTAGGAGTCAGTACGAGGAATAGCGGTTCACTCAGTGAAAGGACATGGAAGAGGCAGTAGTGGTCACTATGGAGACACAGGATAAGAGGTTGAGTAACCAGGAAAGGGAAAAATTAGTGAGGAGACACAGGTGAGGGGCAGTTGGTAAGAAGAACCAGTTAAAGAAGTGATGTGGAAACATGGAATGTGGTAGTCGGTGTTTGAAAGGGAAAAGATCAGGTCATTTCTATGAGAAAATACCACTACTGTCCAAAGATCAGCATAGTACCTTTGTATTTAGAAGGCAATCAATCAAAATAGTATTGACACAGTACTTACTGTGTGCCAGGCACACTAATTGGCTCTGGGATTATACAAAGAAAGGCAAAAACACTTGCAGCACTCAAGGAGCTTAATATACTAATGAAGGTGATAACATATAAATAAATAGGCATATGCAAATTGGAGGCAGCTAGATGGTTCAGTGGATAGATTGCTCCGCCCGGAGTCAGGAAGACAGTTCAAATCTGGCCTCAGATATTAGCTGTGTGACCCTGGACAAGTCACTTAACCTCTGTTTGCGTTAATCCACTGGAAAAGGAAATGACAAACTATTCCAGTATCTTTGCCAAGAAAACCCCCATGGACAGCATTGGTATGCTATGGTCCATGGGATCACAAAGAATAGGATGCGACTGACTGAACAACAATATACATGTTAAATACGGAGAACCTTAGAAGCAAAGGCTAGCAGCAGTAACTGAGAAAGGCTTTCTGCAGAAGGTGGCAGTCAAACTGAGTCATTAAAGAACCCAGGGGTGTCAAGAAACAGAGGTAAGAAGAAAGCATTCTAAGCATGGGGGACATACAGTACAAATACAGAGGTGGGGAAAGGAGTTTCAACTGTGTGGAAATAGGCTGGAAGAGTAGGAAGGGGGCCAGGTTGTAAAGAGCCTTAATTGCCAAACAAAAGATTTCTTATTTGATCCTGGAGGTAAAAGGGAGTAATTGGACTTTGAGTGTGTGTGGGAGTGACATGCTTTATGAAAATCAGTCATAGTTGTGTAGAAGGTGAATTGGAATGGGGAGACACTGGAGATAGGAAGGCCAACCAGCAAGCTATTGCAATAGCCCAGGTGAGAGGTGATGAGGGCATGCATCAGAGTGGTGGCTGTGTCATGGGAGAGAAGAGGATATTTACAAGAGATCTGGTTAAAGCAGAAATGGCTGGACTTGGTGGCAGATTGGATAAGTGGAATGAGAGGAGCCCAGAAGGACATTAAGATTGGAAGTGAGGGTAACTTGGAGGACAGTAGTGCCCTTAACAATAACAAGAAAATTGAAAAAGGGGGGGGAGGCTTGGAAGAGGGGGGCTTATAATGAGCTATTCTGGACATACTGAGTTTGAGAAGGCTCCAGGACATCCAGTTAGAGATGTCCAAAAAGGTAGTTGGTGATGTAAGACCAGAATTCAGAAGAAAAACTAGAGCTGGATATATTAGATTTGGGAAACATCTTCATGGAAAGAACTGAACCCAAGACAGCTAGTGAGATCACCAAAGAAGAAGGTATACAGAGAAAAGAGAGGGCCCAGCACAGAACCAAAGGGTTCACCTACAGTTATAAGGCAGTACAAGGATGAAGATCCAGCAAAGAAGACTGAGAAGGAGCAGTCAGAGAGGTAGGAGAAACAAGAGAGAGGAGTGTCATGAAAACCGAAAGAGGAGTTTCCAACAGAAGGTGACTGGCCCCTGCTGGGAACCGGGAGATATGTAGAGAGGAGAGGTAAGAAGAAAAGAAGGAGAGAGAAGGGAAGGGAGGGGAGGGACGAGGGAGAGGGAAGACAGAAATCTCCTGCTGCCTTAGAATGAGGGCGATACTAGTGAGAAACTCTCATGCACATTGAGAGAGGGGGTCTCCCCAAAGATCTCCTAGGAGCAATAAGCAGACCTGAAACAACAGGGACCCCCCCTCCCTTCATCGAAAAGGTCTGGTGGCAGTTCTGGCACCTGGGGTCCATACTCGGGTAGAATAGTCTTGTCAGGCAGGGTTTTTGCGCCCCCCTAACACACTTTGGTCAGCAGGCAGCTTTAGAACCCCCTAACAACCAACGGTTTCACCCCCTTTCCCAACACTAATAAGTTCTCGGGCTGCCGCTCTCATCTCTCCCATCTAGGACCCAGTAAACATCCCAGCCCCTCTCACCGATGCAGCTACAGCCTAGCAGCCCCAAAAGAGAAGCCCGCCTCCTAACCCCTAACTTTTCCCACACTCCTCCCGGCCCCTTCCCCTTCCTCCAACTCTTCGCAGCCTTTTGGTCCCTCCTCCCATCAGCTCCCGCCCCTAGGATGCCTAAGAGGGTTCCCCCCCCCCGCCCCTTCGCGTTCAAACCCCGTTTGCAAGTGAAGCCCCAACTCCCAGGAGCAGAGTCCCGGCTCAGGGCCGAGCCTCCTCCGCGCCCTCTCCCCAGGTCCGCCCGCCACAAAGCCCTTCCGGCCCCTCTCCCCCATCCTGGGCCCGCCACCGAGCCCCTTCCCCACCCAATCGCTGGCCCGCCAGAAGTCACCTACAGCACTCTCTCCCGTCCTGGGCCGGCCACGGAGCCCCAGTCACCTAAGTCCCCCACCCACAACCCCCCAGGCCAGCTACCGGGTCCCCCCACCCTCCTCTCCCGGAACCCCCTCCTTCCCAAAGCCAGAGACCTGAGACCACCTGGAGCCGGTTTCTCCGCGTGCGGCCCTGTGGGCGGTGCCAGGGCGGGCGGGAGGGACTGGAGGCAGGGGGCGTTCCCTGTGATTTCTGTAGAATCTCGGCCCTACCCAACTTCTCTGGCCCGAGCGGGGCAAGCTTGACTGCCTACCTGCGGAAGAGGGCTCCTTGAAGGCCTCTCTTATACTTTATTTTTACGTAGAATGTAAATTCTTTGAAGGCAGAGACCATTTCTTTTTTTTGTCTTTGTAACCGCAAAGCCTGTTATTTATGAAGCTTAATAAATGCTTGTTGAATTAAGGACTGGGAAATTTGCTCCGCGGCCTCCCCCTAAGCTAGGCCTGGGGTGGGGTGGGGTGGGGTGGAGTGGAGTAGGTGTTTCCTCTTAGGTTGGCACCTCCGGTTCCCCCCCTTCACCATGCCACCCACACTCACCTCCCTCACCAGCCTCTGGACCTTGTAGCTTGGCCAAGGCTGTTAAGGTAAGGTCACCAGTCCCTGCCCTCCTTGATCCCTCATTAGATGGTCACCTCTGCCCTATATATAAAACCCAAGTCAGACAGCCAGAAACAAGGAAGGCAGAGAAATTTATTGACTGCTAGTTAGTGACAGCAATGGTCAGTGAGAGCAAGGGGAATATGGTCACTCCAACTGCTCTGAGTGACCAGAAAATGACTTGCGTTGATTCTGAGGCTCTCAGGATGGGGAGGAAGGAGTAATAGTCACAAATGGTCCTCAGCTTCCTCAAACTGGGGCTGGAGCTCAGGCTGGGGTTGCGATTGGGGCTGGAGCTTGGTTTGGGGCTGGGGCTGGGATTGGGACTGAGGCTGGGGCTGGGGCTGAGGCTGGGGCTGGGGCTGGGACTGAGGCTGGGGCTGGGGCTGGGACTGAGGCTCTGACTCAGGCCAGCAGGGAGATTCCCTGCCATCCTGAGACTCCTCTCTCTGGAGTTTGGAAAGGAGTCGAGCTGTCTCCTGGGTAATCTCAAAGTGCTTTGGCAGTTTGGCTCGGCGAAGAGGGCTGCCTTCTGGGGAGGCACTGGTCCAAGGCCCCTGGCCCCGAAGGCTTCCATGTCGGTCCTTGATAGGGGTTTCCTCACAGAGTTTAGAGGCCACCAGGGCCAGGCTGGACAACTGGTGGATGACTGGCCTGACTCCCCCTGCCCGGGGATATTTCACAGGCTGGCGACTAAAGTGTCCCCGGGATTGTGTCCCTAGAGGGGTTTCCTCACGAACCTGATTGGAATCTGACAGAGGAAATGGGGCTGATTAGTTTCAGCCTCCCTAAATCTCCCTCCAACATTATTCCTATATATTATACCTCTATACCCACAGTTATCCCCAGGTCACCGGTACCCCAAGTTCCGTAGGCAGTTAGAGTACTGGACCTGGAGTCAGGAAATGTTGTTCAGTTATTCAGTTGGGTCAGATTCTTCATGACTCTGTGGACCATACTGTCCATGGGGTTTTCTTGACAATGATACTGGAGTGGTTTGCCATTTCTTTCTCCAGTGGATTAAGGCAAACAGAGGTTTGCCCAGGGTCACACAGCTAGTTAAGTGTCTGAGGCTGGATTTGAACTCAGGTCTTCCTGACTCCAGGCTCAGTATTTTATCCACTGAACCATCTAGCTACCTCTGGAGTCAGGAATAGCTGAGTACAAATAGATACTTACTAGCTGTATGACTCCAAACAAGTCACTTAACCTCTCTATGCCTCATTTTCCTCATCTGTAAAATGGGGATAATAGCATCTATCTCCCAGGGTTGTTGTAAGGATAAAATAAGACAATATCTCTAAAATGCTTTGCAAACCTATGTAAATGCTAGCTATTATTATTACTAGTAATAATTAAATTCACTTAGGGCCACAGTATGCCAAACTTCTCAGGGATGTTCAAGATATCAGAGCTGTCAGCCCTTCCTCAGTTACCTCCCAGAGTAACCCCCAAATCCCTGAGGCAGAATCATGTCTACCTAAGACCTCCCAGGCATCTTCTAACTACTACACTCACCTTCTGTTCCCTCTTCTGAGGGGTTCCCAACGACCCACTCAATGAGGTCACCTTTGGATGGTGAAGTCTGTGAAGAGAAGCATCAGTAAAAGCCAAGGGACCGAAACGGTCCCAACTCTGAGACCCAAAGAGTCTGGTCCAGGATAGACCTAGAGACTTTGATCCAGGATAGAACTACAGAACAAACCAGGCACTCTGACCTGGGACAGAAACAGAGACTCAAAGGTGGCTCAAAAGCTTTAGCCCAAGACAGGTAGTCTAACCCGGACATTCAGAGAGTCTCACCTAGGATTGACCCAGAGATTTTAACTTGGCCTACAGACAAAGAAGCCCCCAAAGTCAAACCCAAGACCAAAAGCGTCTAAACTGGGACAGAGAGAGAGAAATCCTGAGAGTTTACTCGAGACAGACCCACACAGTCTTACTGTGGTCATAAGCAAATACGGAGATGGATTCCTACTCAGTGAGCCCGGCCCAGGACAGACTCCAGCACAGTGCTCAGGAGTGCTCAGCACCCCTCACAAATCTCATTCTTTCCCTACTCCTTGGAAATTCTCCCCTTAGTCAGCAGAATTTACACAAAACCTTAACCACTTTTGGAGGAAAGCTCTCTGATAATATAAAACAATCCCTCAGGTGTGCTGGAATTTGGGCAAGTTTATGCTTCTACATACATCATCACATTCTAGGAGGTACCACTCCCCGCCCCTATCCATTCCCTGTGGGACTCAGAATGTCATTTCCTCTTTACAATTGACTTATACCATTCCCCATCATCTCTGACACTACAGCCTCTATATAGACACTGTCACACCCCTCCCAACTGTTAGCACACTATTCACTCTTCCCTGTTACCCTATTGTTCCTGTTCCCCTCCCCCACTACCCTTAAGCTATTACTTCACCACTTCCCTTGACTGGGCCCAGGCTCTCTGGCAGTGTACAGCCACTCCACTGAGGTTGTATTGTAGAGAGGGCTGCAGACTGACTAGTAATGGACCCTACCTCATCAGATGATGCTTGGACCCCTGAAGTCCCAGATTCCTCTTCAGCAGAGGTCTGTGTAGCAGGATCAGGAGTTCCAGAGTCAGATGTTTCTGCAGTGGTTGGAGGGAGTTCTTCCATCCCAAAGACATCCTCATAGTGGATGATGAGAAACTCAACCATCTGGGCCTGGTATCCTGAGTCCAGGAGGCAGGCCACTGGGCTGGTGCTGACCCCACCCTGGCCCTTTGGTGGCCGAAGCAGCGTTGGCCCAAACACGATGCCCAAGTTGTTGGCTGACATCTTGTTTTCCTCAAACCTTGAGGCCACCCTGGAGGAAGACCTGGGTTCAGAGGTTGCTACCTAGAGACCTCTAGCCCCTGGCTCAAGCCCCAGCCCCAACCCTACCTGAACAAATGGGCCACCAGGTGTCGGAGAGTATTGTAGTTAGAGCCAGGCAACTGTCTCAGGAGAGTTCTCAGGGCACTGACAGCTTCAGCCACAGAGTCAGCACTGGGGCTGGGGTCAAGATTGAGTTCACGTTCAGAGCTCCCTGAGGCATCTGATGATACCCCTGGTTGAAAAGTCTTAGCCAGAGAGATGAAGGCAGCATAGAGTTGAGAGGGGATGATAGAATCTGTGAGCTGGGAGAACAAGGAGTGTTCTGGCTTAACTCCCAGAACTGATCTCGATTTGCTGCTCCACCCTCCTATCCCTCCTGGGCTCCCATCTTCCCCACCTGGCTTCCATCCTTTAGTCTCCCAAGCCTAGTACCCAAGTGCAGCCCTCCACTATCCTCCTTGGCTCCCTAATGCCCCCTTCCCATCTGGCCTGAGCCCCACCTCCTTAAGAAAGTGCTTGAGTACTCCAGTGACATCGTGGGGAGAGTTACCCGACAACTCCACCAAGGCCCAGCCATTTTCGAAGGCCTGACAAAGCCGCTCCACTCGAACCCGGGACCCGCTGATTCGGTAAATACCCTGAGGATTGGAGTTTTAAGTCATGAAGCCAAGGGGCCACTTTCCATCAGAAGATACTGGGAAGTCAAGGATCAGATGGTTGACTCGGGGATCAAGGTCTGGCTAGGGGTCACTAGGAGTCAGGGCCTGACCCAGGGTTGGGACCAGGATTGGTTCTTCCCCTCACTCCATACCTAGAATACACTCCCTCCCCAACTCTTCGTCAACAAGATCACCAGCTTCCTTCAAAGTTTAACTCAAGTAGGGGCAGCTAGGTGGCACAGTGGATAGAGCACTGGTCCTGGAGTCAGGAGGACCTGAGTTCAAATCTGGCCTCAGACACATAACACTTACTAGCTGTGTGACCCCAGGCAAGTCACTTAACCCACTGCCTAGCCAAAAAAGAAAAAAAGTTTAACTCAAGAGTCACATCTTAAAGGAAACTTATGATGATCTCCTTAATTGCTAATGCGCCCCTTCCCAATTTTATATATATATATACACATCGGTTTCTTGAGGGCAGGGGCTGTCATTTTTATCATTGTATCCCCAGTACACACAATGCCTGACACACAGTAGGCACTTCAATACTTATTAAATAGAATTGACTCGGCACCTGTACACTGAGGGCACGGTGCTCAATTTCAGCAGTGCATTTGATGACCAAGAAAGGCACCTCCTCTGGGAAGTCCCGGGGCAGCTGGAGAAAGTCAACTCCAAAGAGCTGAGTTCGGGCTGGGAGCTTCCTGTGGCCACACAGAATCAGTAAAGACTGCAGACAGCGCTTGTGGCAGGCTAGAGAGCACTGAAGGATCAATCGCAAAGGGGGTGAGTGTCACTGGGAATCATGAAAAGGCTGAGAGTCATCAAAGGGCAAGAGGTCAGGGAGGAGTCAGGGTCACAATACCTCCTCACACTCGATCCCGCTGACCATGAAGGTCTCACACTCACGGCACTTAGCCGGGCCCCGAAGCCTTCGAAAATGGTGGGTCTGGGCTGCACTGGATTGTGTCCACTTCTTCAATGTGTCATTGTCTGCTCCATCCCCAAGCTCTAGGGGTCAGTAGGGAAGGGATATTCAGGTGAGGGTCACCTCAGATCTGGCCCCTGATTCCCCTCTTTTTGAGGTCATCTGAGAATTCAGGGTCTGGGGCTCATTTAGGGGGATGAGTCATGAGGAAGAGAGAGAAGCTCTCACTTTTTCCAAACCTATGGGGCTGAAGGGATGACGTCCAAAGTTAAAACCTCACCAGGGCTGGATGTAGGCGAGTCCAGAGACCGCGACTCACTGCTTCCACCTACACTGTCCACATCGCTGCCTAGAGAGATGCCCAGGCTCCCTGGATGGAGAGGAAGGCAGATAGTGAGTATAAAACCTTCTGAGGGCCCCACGACCTCACTCCCATCTCCCCAAAACATTTCCTCATTCCCTCACTCTCACCATGGTCCCCAGGCTCCTCCCAGAGGTTGAGCTCCAATAAGGATTCATTGGACTGCAAGGATTGCTGGGATGGAACCTTCTTTCGAGCATCCAGAGGGGAGCTAAAGGGAGTTATGGATGAGTGCTGAGCCTGGTCAGGCACTAGAATCCTCTCACGTCCAAAATCTCCTTGCCCTGACCCAGTATTAACCCACGAGGTACTGACCATCCCCACAGACTCATTTCCCACCTCTGTGTTGAGGCCACAAACTCCTGGAAGGAGAAATCTGGTGGGGCTGGAGGAGGGGGCTCTGGCCACATTGTCTGTACAAACTCAAGGTACCGCTGGCCAGGCTCAAAGGGCATACAGCATTCACTAAGTGCTGAGAAACTTTGGGGTCCTCGCTGAGCCAGGTCTCCTCGAAGGCTGAAGAGGTACATGGACACCTAGAGAAGCACACAGATCCCTTATAGAGCACTCAGAAACCCAGAAATTTCCCCTCCACCATCGTCTCAAACCTTCAGAGGCCCCCAAATCCTCTCTAAGGGAACAGACATCTAAGAGACACCCCCAGCCCAACACTCACCTTCTTGAGCTCCACATCCCCCTGAAGCAACATCTTCCGGACATGGGACACGATTCTCTGTTTTGTAGCCTCCAGATCCCGCTGCCGGAGGTTGGCCTCTCGGATGCAGGCCTGATAGTGAACTTCAGACTCCAGTGCCTGGGGAAACCAAGGTATGGAGAGGGAAGGGAAACTGAGGCACAGAGAGTGAGAGGGAACAGAGACACGGGGCAGGGGGGGCAGTGGGGGGGGGGGTGTGCACATTGTGCAAAATCAGAAGCTGGGTTCCTACCTTGGCCTGGGCATCATCCCGTGAACGGCGCCTTCGCTCTTGCTGCTTGCTGGGGACCTCAGGAAGGCCCAAGATTCGAGCCTGCGCATCCTCACTCCTCTGTATGTACTGGACCCGAGATCGCCGTAAGGCCAGCACTGCTTCATTCTGGGGTCAGAGGTCAGGGTCAGTGGTGGTAGAGGTCAGGAATGAGCAGGCACCTCCCTGTCCCCTGGTTTCCCCCTCACCATCCTTTTCTGTTCACGAGCCCACTGAGCCTTCATCTCTTTCCGTCTTTTCTCTATTTCATTCCTCTGGGCCACAAGGGGCTGTAGGAACAGAGACCAGGGTTGAGTGGAACCTCTGAGAAAGGCCTATAGCTCTTGGACTCCCTACCTGCTCAACTCTTCCTAGGAGTTAGTGGGGATGAGGGCACGTGCTCACATACATATATCACACATACACACAGACCTGGTAATAATTATGTTTCTGCTGTGTCAATATCTGCAGTGTCAGGTCTCCAAGGATAAGGTCCTGCTCTAGGAAGAGGCCATAGACATCTCGGAGTGGTCCAGGAGGATGCTGAGGAAGGGGCAGAAATCAAGAGAGGAAGCTAGAGAGTTAAAGGACCATTGCCTGATAGAGCTGGATATGACCTTACAGAAACATGGTCAACTGACTCTCTGGGCCCAAGGTCACTGGAGACCAGCATCAGAACTGGGGTTGAATCTAGCTCTTCTGACTTCTAGGCCTGGGCTCTTTCCTCCACAGGAAGAGAGACAGGGGGCTGGGGCTGAGGGAGGATGGGGATGGGGGAGAGAGGAATGACTCTGAGTAGGGTTAATAGGGTCATACCTGCTGCTGGATGGATACCTTTGCTGCCTCAGCAAGCTTCATGATGTTTTTGGAAAATTCTAGCTCTGGAAAGGGAAAAATGAAACCAAATCTGAGGTTAGAGGTCACAGTTGATTGTAGATGATTATAAAGGGTCAGAGCTGGAGGCAGAGGAGGAGAGCATCAAGGTCAAAAGGCTAGATTAAAGACTGGGGTCCAGAGGTTAGGACTAGTATCCAAAGGCAGAGTAGAAACAAAGGTTGAGGCCAGAGGTCAGGGGACAGGGCTGGGGTTTGGCCAGGAATCACCATAGCTTGCTCTCTTTTCAGTCCAGCTCAAAATCTCTTTTAGATGTCTGCTCCACATCTTGGCATAATCCAAGGCAGCCTCCACGCCTCCTTCACTGCGCACAAGCCGCGTGTCCAGTTCCTCCCCTTGGGAAAAAGGGTTAACTGAAGGGGCCACGCCAATCCTTAACCTGACCCCAGGCCCCAGCCCTTGACCCCAGCCTGTACCTGTGAGAGGGACAGGGCCTCCAGGGAAGGGGCTGCTCCAGCTTTGGGTCTCATTAGTCTAGGGGAAAAGCTCAGTGTTTGGCTGGTGGTCACTGACTGCTGAACCCTTCCCTAGGACCTAGGTAGGAATTCTTAGAGGTATCAGCAGATCCAATCCTTCCCTCTCCCTCTCCTCTTACCTCCAATCCTGGCTCAGGGTCATCCAATGGCGCTGAGTCTCCAACCAACATTTCCATAGCCCTGGAGGTGGGGGTAGGGGTGGGGGTAGGTTAGGGTGTCCCCTTGGCTGAGTCTGTCTGGGGTGGGGCTCAGTGGGTTTTGGATTTCTGGGGTTTAGGGGGGGGTCATCCTGGAGGACTGTGGGTTTGAGGCTTATCTTCCCTGCCCCCACCCCAGCCACTCACGAATTTCCCAAAGAAATCTCCAAGTTGTCCAGGCTCCTGAAGATTTCACTGTAACGATTTCTGTTCTCAGTGCCCTGAGTCTGGGGGAGACCTGGAGGTAAGGTATGGGTGAAAAAGGGGTTGTACACATCCCAACTACACTTACTTGATGCGCACAGACCATCCCCACCAGGGGCAGGTGTTCCTGAGTCTGCATGAAATTTCAATCCTAGGAGGGCTCAGACTCCAGGTCTGTCTCTGCCTTCCGGTCTGAGTTTTTAATCACAATTAGGGCTTCAGGAACTCATTTACACAGACATTTACACGTGTGTTGTACACTGGAGCACAGGTATGCATATACATATACATACACACAGACACATACCTGCAACACAGACTAGCACACGGAGGGAGAAGGGTACTCGGTGAATGTCTATGGGCCCTTCCCCCACCCCATTCCATATTCAGCAGAAGCAGAAGCAGCCACTTCCCCCACCTTGGCAACCGGATGGGGGAGGGCCGGGCATGAGGGTGAGGAGGGGGCGGTTGTGGGGATAGGAGGAGGGGGCAACTTGAACCCTCATGTCCCCCTCATACCGAGCTGGGCTCCTTCCATGGCTCCAGGTGCAGGCCCAGGGGGCTGCTAGGTGGAGGTGACCGGATGCAGCAAAGTTAGGGGCCAACCTTTCCCCTCCCACCGCCCCCCCAGGCTTCCTGCTTCCGTATGGGGACCGCCCCGCCTCCACAGGGCGGGGACACGCCCGGCGGGAAGTTCATTGTGCCCCCAGTTTCTCACTCCCGCCCCCATGTGCTGATTCAAGCTGAGCAGGCCTGGGGTTGTGAATTTCTGTTCGCAGGCCGGCATCGCCAGCCCTGGTCACCATCCAAACTCAGAACCTGCACAGAGACCTGGAACCTGGCTCCTCCTCACAGACAGACACACTGGGACTCACACTTACACACAGCCCAAGGGCTTTTCCGAGACCCGCCCTTTCTAGACCCCGCCCCGCCCACGGAGCCCTAGACTCCACCCCCCTCACCTGGGTTCCCGCCCCCTCACCTTGCACCGCCTTGACTAATGCTGCCGCAGCCCCCCGAACACATGGTCCCACCAGCAGCGGGTACTGGGTCTGCAGCTCGGCCACTGCCTGAAGCAGGTCACTAAGGTGAGCCTCTAGAGGGTCAGACCCAGCTCCGCCTGCGGGGGAGACGGTGTGAAGGTCCAGCCCAGACAGTCCTCCCCTCATCCCGGCTCTGTGGCTCTGACCCCCAGTCTGCTGGACGCTCTCCCCCGCGGGCCAAGGGTGACCCTGCCTCCACCACTCACAGCCCTCGCGGCCCAGCGCCCGAAAGTTGAGGAATTTCCCGTTGATGAGGCGGAGATGCGCCGAGACCCGGCGGAGCTGGCCCGGTGAGTTCCAGCCAGGGTTGAGGTCAGGCATCTGTTGGGCAGACACCCCAGGGGGACCCAGGCATTCGTCTTGCGCAGGGGGCTCCCTTATAGCCCCAGCCCGGCTCATAACTTTCTGACAGATGTGGACCATGGGCTGCTCCGGAAGTTTGAAGACCCAATAGTACTGCTCCCAGCCGGCACAGGGCCTCCTTGTGAGGAGCCCAGGAGGTCACGGGAGCCCAGTGACCCTGTTCCTGGGTGGCCTTCACAGGTCTGGACAGATGCAGGGGGTTGCCCCAGCCAGGTCGTGGTGAGGGTGGCTCGGCCACATTCCAGCTCCTGGCTGACAAGCTAAGCATTAACCTCTCCCTCACTGGGTAGGCTGGGAACTAGCCAAACAGGGGAGGAACCTTATAAAGAGGAGTGGAGGCACTACTCGGGCTTGCAATCTGGGACATGGAGTCAGAACTGCCCCAGAATGAATCCTACTCATCTACTTCTGTTACTGCCACCCTATGGTGTCTCCAGCCATTAGGGAGTAGGGAGAAGGAATGACATCTGATACGAAGAGGGGAAAGATCTGGACCACCTTCTGTTGGCTCACAGGATCATAGGAAAAACAACTCTCTCCATTCAAAAAAAAAATTAAATGAGGAGAGAGTTAATGGAGGTCCAAAGGGTTCAATAACAGCCCAGGAGATACCAGCTGGACCAGTTGTTGGGAATGGACAGAGGGTGGGACTCTGGGTGAGGAAGGAAGCCTTAAAAAAACCAGCCAAGCAGGCTGGCAGGTAGCTTCCCTTGCCTGCATCGCCCGCCTCCCCTCTTCCCAACCTAGGGACTCCTCTCCAAAGAGGGGCCCTTTCCAGTTCCAGATCCTCATCCTATGATAACAACAGACAGTTGAGGCTTAGGTTAACTTTAAAATACGCTGATGTCGCTTTATTTACCAAAGGGGGAGGGAATAGAGCAGGGGGCCACAGTACAAAAGGTTCCCACTTAAGTCTGTCCTAGAACATCACTTAGAACATCGATGAGGAAGGGGGTGGTCACTGCTCCTCCCTACACAGTCTGGGCTCGTCCAGGCCCCCACCCTGGGCTGACATGGTCGCCTGTCCTTGGTCCTGGGAAGGAGGGCCCCAGGTTCAGGCTCATGAAGGCACTTTCATCTTCGGGCTCCCCAAGAAGAACTGAAGGAGACGGTCTACCAGGAGGGCCACACAGAAGTCGAACAGCAGGACCTGAGCAATCACCAGCTTGAACTGGAGGACACGGAGGGAGCATTAGAAGGGGGAGAGAACCCACCTAATTCTACTAGAAACTTCCCTGGGGCCTCTGGGGGAAATACAGTGGAATGAAGGAAACTCCAAGGGTCTGGACTAGAAGACTTTACAAGGTCAGTGTTCACTGGGGGAAACTCCAAAGGACAGAAATGGGACACCAGAGTCAGATGCAGCTTGAATGGAGGTCCTCCTTACCTCCACAGGGATGTCCACAAGCCCAAACTGGCTGTTGAAGTCAGGGGAAGAGCCCAACAGGAGACCAGCAACAGCAGCAGTGGATATGCCGAGGCTCCACAGAAGGGGCTTGTTCTCCCGAAGACTCTCCATGAATGGGGGACCCTGGGGGAGGCCAGGGTCACTCAAGCCCCTTGCCCTAACCTCCTCCTGGGACTCAATGTAGTCAGTGGGGTAAGGTATTGGTGGGAATCTGGGTCTTCCCAGGACTAGTATTATGGGGCTGGATGCATTGGCAGAAATTGGGGGCCCTACAGGGCTGTGATGTCAGTAAGAATCAGGGATCCTCGGGAGTTAGTTCAGTAGGAGAGGCCTCACCTTATAGTTGATGGCAAAAGTGGCCATCTGCATGGCCATAGCCATGATATACACAGTGCTGTTGACCAGGCTCGGCTCAAACTCTTTGTACAAATCCACAAACTCCTCCTTCCTAGAGAAGAAGGGAGGATTAGGACTCCATAGGCATGTAATGGCACAGAAGTCATTACCCTCTAAACCCTGACAGAGCCCTATCAAGTTACTGGAAGGAAAAGAAAGAGGAAGGCACAGGAACTACTCACTTGCCAGGGCTTCGGGCCTGAGCCCCCTTGTATAGATAGATGAGACTTAGAAAGTGCACCAGAAATTGCAGGAGCACGGTGAGGACGGTGTACAGGTTGAAGATGTTGGGCAGTGGTCGCTCTGGTGACAGTGTCTTCAAGGGCTGGGGGTTAGAAAGGTCTCTGCTCATCCTTGCTCTAGAGAGGATGAAGCCCGACAGACCCCACACTCCCAGGGAAAAAAGGGGATGTACCCATTTCCTTCAATTAGAACTCACGTCTTTCAGAAGTCTTCCCTTATTAACCCTTGCCCCTCAGCCCCCTAATGCATTAGAGTCCACAGGATTCAAAAACAAAAACAAACCCCTTTGTGTTTGTCTCTGACCCCCATCCCTTCTGTACAGATTGCAGAGCCTCCAGCCCCTGCAGATCAGGGGATGTCTTCCCTCTGTCTCCCACAATGGTTGTCTGCTTGCCTGCGCTGCCTCTACAAACCTTGGAGCGGGAGATGAAGAGGAAGCAGCCAGCCAGCAGTAGGCCCTGCAGTGTGGCCTGGAAGTCACTGAACTTGACCCCTTCCAGGTACAGGACGCTCTGGCTGTAGGCAAGGATGAGTGCATTCAAGGCAAGGATTTTGAACATCTGTAGTGTGGTCACCAGAGTGCACCGGCCTTGTTTGATGACGTGGCAGACTATGGGAGAGGAAGTAGAGGGGGATAGTTCAGAGTCAGGCTTGGGAACTAGAAAGGAGACAATACTAAAAAAGCTCCCATCCCCAAAGGAGTGAGATTAGAGTGATGACTAGCACAGGGCCTTCAGTAAGTTCTTGGGGGGAGAAGGCAGCAAAGGGTCATCGAGTATTAGGGTCAATCACCAGGAGCAGGCAGGAGTACAGTTGGGCATCAGAATGGGTTAGGGAGAATGAATGGACACAGGACGAGGAGTTGGTCTCTATCAGTAAGGGGAAGTCAGGAAGGGTCCGTATCTGTTAGTGCTGTGTCCCTCGGGGCTTGAATACTCACTGCACTGAATGGATGAGAGCTTAGAGGTGAAGGGGGCTGCTATGCTAGCATCTCCCAGCTTCACAACAGGGGCATGGTCCTCCTCTAGGTCCCTTAGCACCTGGTTGAGACGCTCCTACAGGTATGAAGGGAAACAAACATGCCCAAGTTATAGCTCAGAAGGGCCCGTTTCCTAGAGTTCCTTGGCAATTTCACATACCCGCTGGAGATTCAGTTGCTCCTCCCGTGCAGGCCGATGCTTGACCAGCCTTGAGGGCATCCTCACACTGCTGCTGCTCAGAGAGAGTCTGCCATCACTGGGGCCATCCCTGGGTCTTCGACGCCTCTCAAATATCCGTTCTGGGGCATTGGCCAATAGAGCAACCCCTGAAAGGTACAAGTAGGGCTGGGAAGGAAGGATATGTGCACCCGCCTTCCCTTATAGAAGATATTGGGAGACTCTGGAGAAGAGTGTGAAGTATTTTGGCCATAGGAAGAATGGCCACACAGCTTACAATCACTACCATACACTCCCGAGGAATCCACCATGCCACCTGAACAAATTTCCATCTGTCTCAACGAATATCCCACTTTCCCCCACACCCTTACACTAGAAGCTAGATAGGTAGGCAGATGCATGACTCCCTATTCAGATGGGGGGTCTCACCCACCACCCCTTCCCTTACCCACATCCGCATGCTTCAATGCCCCAACATCATTGGTGCCATCCCCACACATCAGGGTTACGTAGCCAAGCTCCTTTAGGCTAGTGATGACAAACTCCTAGGACAGGAGGGGGAGTGGTCAGCAAGAGGGAAACCTATAATGGTCCCTTCTCCCCAACCCCTGGCCAGGATCCAAGATCACCTTCTGTTTGGGGGAGACTCGGGCAAACACCTGTACGTGGGGAATGAGCTTGAGCAGGTAGTTATGATCATAAGCCTGGAGGTGGGCAAGGCCATCCCCTGTGAGGCACAATGCGTGATTTGAAGTCAACTCCTTTGTGGGGCTCTGGATGAGTGGGAAGACGATGTTGCCATCAATGGACTGCCACTGCCACTCAGAGCCTGTAACACATCAGGAACCATATGGTAAATGTATGTGAATTCTTTCCTTCTTTGGCCTTTGGGATGCTATGATATTGTAGTGACTCTCCTACTCCTTAGCATTTCCTCTCTACCCTCTTTACTGGCTTCCTTTCCTTCAGACCACAAACTATGGGAACCGCACAAGGCAGCTCTCTCCATACTCTCCCTCACTGATCAGATAATCCTCCTGCCTTCAAATTCTACCACTATGCAAATGATTCACATTTCCTTTATTTGGAATTTTTTATTCTGAACTTAACAAATACAAAATGAAATGAGCATTTCACATGCAAAAAAGAACAGAAAAAGAAGACTGTACATGAAACTGAATCTCTGTAACATGCAGCTTGCCTTTCAAGTATATAATTAATTCCCCATATAACTTTTGAAGCTGTCCTGCTCATCTATGTTTCCTTCTGGCTTTCATTCTGTTCTCTTCTGCGCATTAAAAAAAAAAAACTTTAATGACCCACTTTCCTTTTTCTTTTTGGCAGCTCTTGCTAATCTCCTTTCTTCCTTTCATCCCAACCCCCCCTCCCAAAAAAAGAAAAATCCTTATAAATGATTATGCAAAGTCCAGCACAACAAACTCCCTCATTAACCTAATTAAAAAATCTTCTTCTCATTCTACAATCAATATGCTCCGTCATTAGGCTTCTAGAATTTTGGCTGACCATTGTCTTGACCAGAGTTGTTAGGTCTTCCAAAGCTGTTTTTTCTTTACATGTTGTCATCATATAGATGTTCTCCTGGTTTTACTCACCCCACTGCCTGAGTTCACACAAGTCTGGTAGGTTTCTCTGAAACCAGCTCTTTCATCATTTCTTATGTTGCAATTCACATACTGTGCTTTGTTTGGCCATTCCCAATTCATGGACATCCCCTTAGTTTCAAGTTCTTTGCTACAAATAGGCAAGTTCTCATATTTCCAACCAATACCTTTGGACAAAGTCACACAACTGTATAAACTGTGTCCACTACACATTTACATTGACTAATCTCAACCTCATAAGGATTTGTTAACCTTTCCCTTATTGCTTTACTATTTTACTACTGACAGTGACTACTGGAAACCTCTCCTCAAGTCCTCTACTACCATCATCTCCACCATTTTACTGAGAAAAGAGAAGCTGCCTGTTGTGAGCTCATTCTTCTCCCCATTTCAGCAGAAGTCCTGCAAGCCATTTATTTGTGCTCTGGATCCCAACTCCAACTAT